GCCTCGATGATATGATCAAATCTGTAATTCGTAATTTGGATTCGTGGAAATAATTAATTATTTAATGCTGATTGTTAACCCGCGAGCGTACAATTAATAGATCACAAAGTGAGTTTCGGGGCCCAATGATAATTGGGGTCTAATAGTCATATTACGGAGACCAATAGGATTTATTGCCACGCAATTGATGGTCGCACTGATAGCTGTAATAATTCACACGATCACTTCTCTTCTGGAGGTGGCAGAGAGCGGTTGCGTCGAACATCTGTCAGATTTTCGTAACACGCCGTTTTGGGAAGCTATGTTGGACTTCGGCATGCCTTGTGGGTCTCGGAATTTCTGATATTTATTGGGACATCTGCATTATTGTCATGCAGCCTGGAGTTCTTTGAGTATTTGAGTTATTTCGTGCATGAACTCTGGTGAGGGTGGTGGCTAATTAATTTTGATTTTGTTAGGGTAGGATATCTGATCTCAGGGCTTTTTGGACGCATGTTAGGACTGTTGAGTTACATCCCGCGAGAGACTTTGGATTTGATTTGTTTTATTTTAGTTTTTGAGATGAAATCATGTCCGCCCAATAAATGATTTTCACTTTGAGTTATTGTGTTTTAGATTCCTTCAAACTCTCGTTTTGTTGGTTTCATTCACGTTAGTTCGCGTTCTTTGCATTTGTTCATGTTCGTTCACATTTTATTGGGTTTCGAACAGACACTCGTTATTGGCATTATTTCTTTAAGTTCATGAGTTATTTGTGAATGTTGTGGAAGAAATTCTGATGGATGTTACTGTTGCGTTTAATGGGAAATTATTGAACGAGGACTATTGCTGTCAGTGAATTTTCGAAAGACATTGAATGTTAGGAAGTTTAGGGGCCTCATGACCTTGTTAGTTGCACGGGCTATTGTCTCGATCTAGTCGTTTGCTCGCCAGTTTCACTTGTTAGACAGACATTTCGATTTCAATCATACTTCTGTCTTAATTTGATTCCCATGAATTTCTTTGACTTTCTTCCAGTTCTAATTATTTATTTGACTTTTATTTTGACTAACTTCGATTTTGACTTTGTTGACTCTTATTCTTGTGACGTTAGAATCTTTCAATTTATTAACGAATGTGAACTTTGTAAATAGTTTATTCTGTTCATTTATTTGAACGATAGAAAATAGGAAAGGGTATTATCTAATGGATTGATTTGTGTTGTATTGAATTTTTTTTAGAATTTATCAATTATTGTGAATGCCCGACAGTTCCTCTTCCTTAATTAACGTAACCCAGTCACATATCTAGTATAAGCTCGTTCAGTAACCAAACATGCGTCTCTACGTTCTGAGATAATAGGAGCCGTATTAAAGCTTAGGATCTGTTTTTTTGTTTCCCGTGGTCGTCCTAGTAAAAACGACCTGGAGCTCAACTTTTGTTACCTCAGAGTTGTTCAGGTGTCACAGAGCTGCGTAGCGAACCGGGGGTCCGTGATACTCCGAAAATTACGTCACAGTAGGTATGATTACTTATTCAATAATGTGGAGAATATGCATTGAAAGGTTCTGTGGAATTGGATACATGTGCCATTTTCGGAAGGTTGACAATAGTATATGTGCTATACTTTTGTGGGGACTTGATGCAGGCACACAATGCAACAGTGTAATTTTTTTGTCTATTCAACGAGTATGGCAGTCAAGCATATGTACTTCCAGTTATGTGTTAATCTTCCATGTGAACAACTGGAGGTGGACAAATTTGCCGCGCCCATTGCTGTGTGTGGACTTCAAAGTGGTGATCTGTCTTGTTGTGGAAAATATGCATGTGCTGAAGGGGATGTGGATATTTAGGCCCAGATCCATCTTTTTCGGGCTATTTTCAATCCTGCCCGTGCATATCTATTTCCCTCATGGCAGAATACCGAACTGTGTTGTGACATAATTTTCGGGGTATCGCGGATCCCCGGTCAACTCCGCAGCCCTCTGACACTCAAACAACCCTGAAACGATGAAAGTTGAGCGCCAGATCGTTTTTACCAGAACGACCACTAGAAACAAAATAAAATAGATCCAATACAGCTCCCACTAGCTCAAAACTTAGAGATGCATGTTCGGTTACTGAAAGAGGTTAGACTAGAATTGCGACTGGGTCACGCAAATTGATAAAAATTAACTGTCGGTAAATTCACAATATTTAACAAATTCTAAAAATTCAATACAATACAAATCAATTGATTATATATTCTCATTCTCGATTTTCACTCGTTCAAATAAATAAACAGACTAGACTACTTGAAGAAGATGACATTCTTTAATAAATTAAAAGATTCTAATGCCACAACAATGATAATCAACAAAGTTAAAGTTAAAATAAAAGTAAAATAAATAATTAGAATCGAAATAAAGTCAAAGATCTTCATGTGAATCAAAACAACACAACAGAAGAATGATTGGAATCGAAATGTCTCTATGACGAGTAAAACTGGCGAGCAAACGACTTAATCGAGACCATAGCCGGTGAAACTATAAAAGGTCACGAAAGCCATAAACTTCCTAATATTCAATGTTCTTCACAATTTCACCGACAGCAAGAGTGCGCGTTCGAGAATTTCGCATTAAACTCAACAGTAACATCCCTCAGAATTTAGTCCACAAAATTCGCAAATATCTCATGACCTTCAATAAAATAACTCCAGCGACGAAAGTTGGTTCGAAATCAAATAAAACAAGAATGAACATGAACGAATGCAATGAACGCGAACTAACGTGAATGAAATGAACAAAATGAGAGTTTCAACCGATCTAAAACATAATGACTCAGAGGGAAAATTGTTTATTAGGCGGACATGATTTCATCACAAAAAGTAAAATAGAACAAATCTAATCCAAAGTCTCTCGCGAGAAGTAACTCACAAAACTCTAACATGCGTCCGAGACGCCAGAGATCAGAGATCCTGCCCTTACAAAATCAAAATTAATTAGCCACCATGCTTACCAGAGTGCAGACACGAAAAAAATCTCGTAAACCCGAAGAACTCCCCGCGGCATAGCAATAATCCACACGTCCTAATAAATATCAAATATTCCGATAAGCCGGAGACCCAAAAGGCGCGCCGAAATCCAACATCGCTTCCCAAAATGACGTCTTACAAGAATCCGAAAGACGTGCCAAACAACCGCACTCTGTCACCAGCAGAACGGAAGTGATCGCCCGAATTATTACAGGTATCAACGCGACTATCAATTGCCCGGCAATGATTCTTATTGGCCCCCGCAATATGACTATTAAATCCCAATCATCATTGGGCCCCGAAACTCACGCTTGCAGTCTATTAATTTTACGCGTGCGCATTAACAAAATCCGTTGAATAATTAATTGTTTCAACCAGACCAAATTCCAAATTACAAATCTGATTATATCATCGACTTATCAATATGACCCTTCCTGCGACATTCAATATATATATATATATATATATATATATATATATATATATATATATA